AAAGTAAGTCTGATTTCTTCAGCATCTTGCCCCAGTTTAAAATACTTCCTGAACTCATCCATGTTTCCTTGTGGCAAATAAATTTTGACCAAGTAGTAGCAAGCATTTGGGTATGTCTTGCAGCATTGTGGGGCCTCTAAAAGATACTCCTTTAAAACCTTCAGTACTGTGTCTCTTAATTTTTCAGCAGTCCTGACGCCTTTTTGTACCATTCAAACGCTTCTTTGATATCTTCGTCTACCACTCCTTCAACTCCACATCGATACATTTCAGCTAAGTAAGCTGTGCAGATGTTCTTCTCAGACGGACCGCCTTGTGAAACAAATCGTTCGCCTTTCTCTGTTTGTGTGGTTTTCCTGTAGGATCCAGTAACTGACCAAGTTTTTGTAAAAACCAAGGGATTAAAACAACCATTTTGGACAGCTGTGTCTAGCCACCCAATAGCTTTCTCAGAGTCCTTCTCAACGAACCCTTCGATACCGCTAGAATAAGCGGTACCAAGGTGAATTTGGCAAGATACTTTGCCCTTCTTGGCTCGAGAAATTAAAAAATCCACTGAGCCATTCGTTTCTTTGAGCTGGTTTTCCAGATTAAAGTCATCTGGGTTGAAAAAACCTGTATTTTTGGGAAAGCACACTCCGACATCCGTCAGAAGGAGGTCATCTCGGGTAGATTTCCGATTACGAAATCCGAGCTCGCCCGATGTTGTCTTCGTGATGAAGGCCCTATTTAGCATATTAGACCCGCAAAACAAAGTAGAAACGAACACGTGCTTCGTTTTCGCTCATGACTTCGTATTAGGCGTAAGATATTTGCATTTTTTTCCGTTGCTTACCTTTATTACAGACTCCAATAAATTTTTGCGATGCCTCCTTTTCACGGATGGCCGATTACAACTACAACATAGTAACACCTCCACGAAATCTGTCAAAAGGAGGATGTTACAACACCAGAGGTCATCTCGAGTAGATTTCTGATGACGAAATCCGAGCTCGCCCGATGTTGTCATGAAGGCCCTATTTCGCATTTTAGAGCCGCAAAATAGAGTAGAAAGGAACACTTACTTCGTTTTCGCTCATGACTTTGTATTAGCGTTAAGATATTTGCATTTTTTTCCGTTGCTAACCCATATGACAGATTCCACAAAATACATTTGACGCCTCCTTTTCACGGATGGTCGATCACAACTACAACGTAATAACATCTTCACGAAGTCTGTCAAAAGGAGGATTTTAAAACACCGGAAATCTTCTGGATTTCTGATGAAATAAATTTAACGCAGTTACGTTCAGAGTTTAAGCGATATATTGTTATTTCTAATATGGTAATTGATTAAAAAATTGTACATTACCTCGATTGGACGGAGATTAAGTTTGAATATAATGTAGCAGGCGATATTACTTTTGTCGACAAGGATAATCCGTGACTTGTCTCACCTATTACATTTTCTCTATCTGCGTTGTGCCATGATCATCATTGAAAATATTCTACGATAATATTTTTTACAATATTTAGATGAGGATTTTCAATTCTAAACGCAAGAGCGTACTTAGGGAAAGATCTATAGGAAACAGTTTCTCATGAATACATTTTAAAAATTCTTTTAGCTGACTTCTACATAGATAAAAAATTACTACACATATATATTTCACTTCGACGATTATCTTAATAAACAATTAATGGGAAGTTCTGAGAATCAGTTTTTAATACTACATGTTAAATTAATGGTTATTTTTCTCTTCCTGCTTAAGGGCTCTTTCGCAGTTTGGACAACGCCAGTTTGCACTTGAACCTTCCAAAATAATTGTTGAAATGCATTTCCTGTGAAAAAAATCCTTGCAGCTACAACATTTCACACAACGAGAAGGAGACTTCGAGTCTGACTCTTCCCTCGGCATTCTACACTCGCACATTACCGAGACCTCTTGAACAAAAAGTGGCCTCCTGTCTCGACACTCGGGTACTTTAGAGAGGGGAAAGGGGTCGAATGATCCACTCTCCAGGCTCTTTAAAAGATGTTGTCTTATCAGCTTCCTGTCAAATGTCAGATTAGAAGGATTGAGGCCATGTAGTAGCGAAACCAGAAAAGCAATAGCATAAACTCCACAGTCATCGGAATTGTTCTGGTGTTGCACATTTGGTACAATGACCTTAAAACTAGTTCCTTCCTCGTATATAATTGATGCAATCTGTTTCTGCACGAGGGCTGCAATTCTTCCCGAAAACAGGCTGTCGTACAGATAAACTACAGAAGGAGTGTAGCATCCTACAGTAGATACCAACACCCAATGATGGCTGCCAGTATTCAGGATTTGTGAAAATTGGCCTTTTTGAACAGAAAAATTAAAAATAGGCCCCAAAGTTGTATTTTCCAATCCTCTTGCGTGAGGGAACTGTTCCCTCAGGACAGACTGAGCTGCACCTACAATATGATCGGTGAGCCAGTCTCCAGTTGAAATGGTGCTAATGTCCTGTTCCGAGAGATGGAATTTACCGGCCTTTGAGGCGCTTCTGTGAGAGGTCTTTACAAATTCTGCTTCATCATCTTTTTTGTTTTGCTGGGCCAGGTTTGTGTTCGATGTCGCGTTTACTGTAAGGATGATGCATGTGTTTGCAGTGCTGGTTGTGCTCGAGGTTGTGTTAATGGAGGAGATGGTGTTTTTTTGCGTTTGCGGTGCTGGTGATGCATGTGGTCGTGTTTGGTGTGTAAGGGGTGCTTGCCTTTACAGTTTGATTGGCGTTTGAATTTGAACCATTAGAGTTATTCACGTTCACACTGCGGTTTATGTTTACTTGAGCCTCGGCGCTTGAGTTGGCATTCTTGATGTGTGAGAGTTTCGGCTGTTTGGCAGGCTGGCGTTCTATATCGTTTAAGCTGACGTTATACCCCCTTTTCATGTTGTTTGCTCTTTCCCCTACACGTCCAGTGAAAAGATTTTTCTTCTGAGATACTGGCAGCCTTTTATAGTCTACTTTCTTTTTTTTCATCCTGCGCGAATTCTTTTTCATAGTAGACTTCAGGAGAGGAGCTTCCAGAATGATACCTTCCTCCTTGGCGGCTGTTTTCTGCAGAAGGTCGAGACACTCTTCAAGCTTTTCCTGAACTTGCCGTAAACTCCCACCAACTTCCCACGCCTCTGCAGTGTAGGTCAGGTTTTTTATCTGACCCAATAGTTCACGACATTTTGCAGCATGGGTTCGGGGTCGTAAAGTCGATTGAGGTATATTTTCAAACTGCGACGATTGCTTCTGAAGATCGTGAACCTCGTCATGCACACATGGAGGTGAGTCGACTACTTTCCCATCGGCAATACCGTCGCCTTCTTCTTTTTCACCAGCTAAGAGCACATCTCTATCGACACTGAAGAATGGGGAATCTCGATATTCTTTTGGAAGTCTATCGAACGACCATGACGGGACGTGCTGGAATACGGCAAAAAAATGTTTGCATGGCAGCCGTTGCCTCTCCCAATCAAAGCACTCACAGCTTGGCTGCTTGGTCCCAAACATGACTTTGTACATCTTCTTCTCTTCGAGTCTACTTTGGCTTTTCACCAAAAACTCGCCATTCTCCATGTCAATAACTGTGACATTGCTACTTGGGATAGACTCCGCAAGAGATAGCCTGTCCATGGAATGTTTTATGATGTGGTGCGGTCGTTCTCTTAAATAGGAAGGGATGGCAGAGTTATAGCGTCGAAAACTTGCTTGAAGTTTTGTATTCAATTCCACATACCTGAGACACAAAAAAGGCCATCAGAATGTTCCTTTTACTCCATGGTAATGGTATTTGTATCACGCCTTTACAGACTGTCTCGCCTTCCACTTAGTCACTCTCTCATATTGAAAAATAACTTTCTTTTCCCTTTCTTTCATTAGACTATTTAACTGTCCGTTAAAATTTATTAAAACAATAAAACATCTTTCTATTCATTAATTTATTCATTCATTACTAAATTTTCGGGCATTTCACACTGAAACCGAGACGTTCTATACCAAAGTGTACAAATAAACACAAAATGTTCCAAATATAGACAGCATGTGACTGGACACGGAAAGCAGGAATTACTTACTTGAGATACTTGTCAGGAAGGAACTCATCTATTAGCACTGAGAGCATCCCACTCAAGGTTCTTTGTTTGATTCCTGCTAGGTAATCGTACTTGAAAGCCTTATTCTGCCTTTCAACGCCATTGTTGGTGTTGATAGTTGTAAGAAAGCGGTCTTTTCTGAACGCCCATACCCATTTCTATAAAAGAATTAAAAATTAGCTTTTCCAGCAAGAAATTCAAGAAAATATGATGGTAAGTATGCATATACCTTATGTTGAGGCAGCCATGTCTTTGTGATATAGTTACTTAAGTTGGTATTTGTCCTCCATTCTTCGCTATCCTGGAGGTCGCTCAATCTGTGCCGATACTCTTCTTCCGTGCGGGTCATAGCTATCGCTCGCAGCTTTGCAAGGACTTTTTGTTTTTCGTTCAATAGGCCATTGCTGGACTTTGAAAGCCACCTTTCCCATGCCTGCTCACGATGAAAGTCGCAGATGTAGATCGCACTCTCTATTTTGTCATTGGAAAAAAAGGATAAAATGAATGAAGTTACTTTCCATGAAAGAATCAAACTGGCACCAGCTTAATATTCGTTGACGAATGTTAATAATTATTTAGAGGGAGAAACAGTAACAAAATACTCTTCCACCTGTCGAGAATTTTATTGTAAACGTGATCATGGGAGTTGATTTTTGTCGTGTACTTTGTTTGTTTCAGAATCAAGACGTTCATTAGACGTATTAGATTTTAGAAGATGGTGACTGTGCTCGCATCTTTCTTTTATAAAACCATAAATGGTCATAAATTACGAATCCATAGATATCTATTTTCGCAGTGTGACACTGCTCAAAGAAAGAATCTTAATACCTGGAAATAACTTGCCAATTGCAGACATCTCCTTTCTGAGAAATCCACCATAAAATATGAGGGGTTCCAGGTGGGGTTCCAAGACTTAATTATCGAGAGGGCTTCATAAATGGAATCTGACGTTTCGCTTTGGATGACGAAAGAGCCTACAATTTGATAATCGACGTTGGTCTTCACAACTACAAAGAAAAGATGGAGGCTGTACTTCGTGGTCTTATAAGTAGCGTCTAGCATACTTATTTCATTTCCATAGCGTTCTAAAAGCCGTCGTTGATCTTTCGTCTGGTGTGCAAATAGGAGCCCTTTAGTTGGCGTCTTCAATATGATATCTTCATCATCCTCCTCACCATCGCTACGACTGCTATCATCATCATCCCCATTTCGTTCCTTTCCCTCTTCGTTGTAAGTTACATAGGGCTGGGACGCAAAATAATCCTCAGGAGAAATCTCCCTCCAAAGCTTCACCTTTTCCTGAAGATCCTCCTGGTCAATTTTCGAGAACCTTTCTTTGACTAAGGATTTGTACATGTGACTTCTAATCGTAACTTTGGAGGGATAAAAGCGTCTGTTGGTCTTCAATGGCGCTTTTTTCCCTCGATATAATTCTCTTTGCACAAAGATCTTTAAATGTCGGCGTATCTCTTTCTCTGATCTTGCTCCTGCACATACGAGTTCTTGTATTTTTGCCACGAGCCTCTCATCTATGCGCTGAAACAAACCTCCTGCCTAAATTCAAAATTAACAAAGAAATGAATGAATCAGAAATCAAGCGTAAAAAAAGTAAATAATGAGATTAAGAAAATCGAAAAATAATTCTTACGTACACGACTAAATGCGGTTTTTGACCCACTCATTTCTATGAGAAGGACCAGTTACGTAGCCCGCAACAAAAACTATGACGACGGTAACTGGGTATTTAATTGTAAGAGCTTATTTCTCCAGTTGGGTGCACGGTGTGTTCATCGACTGAGGGAAAATGGATGTTAATCCACCTTTCACTGCAGTTTTTGCCGTTCCAGCATCTATGGCGTTGCGCAGCTTTTTGGACTGACTCTTACAGCGCCACTCCCTCTTTTGCGAGATCTAGAGATCAAAAGGAGGAACACAAATTGACGTTTTTGTGATGTCATTTATAGGTCGGCGTTTTCCTTGTTTAATTACATTTTGCAATTTCTTTATTCCGAATTACCTTGTACTCCGGAAATTTGATGATTTCTCTCATGTGCACTTGGGCGGGACGGTTGAGTTTCCTTGATTCTTGTAAAAGCTTACCAACTCCATTTCTTCGATAGGCGTGGTCACCGGCCTATGTTTTTGGAAAAAAGAAGTCTTCTTGTTAATGAAAACTTTTTAAGCAGCAATATAACGCCACGTTTCCACTGAAACTTTCTTCCATGTTGGACATTGAAACATCCTATCCCATCGAGTCCTCTTTTCAGACCATATACTCTCTTATCTTTATGCAAGGAGGAGGAAACTCAAGGCTACTTGATCTTGACCTTTAGTTATTAATCAACGCAAAATAAAAAATCTACAACATCATTTAAATACAAAATACTTTCAACGTACCGCTTGGTTTTTCCTTTTCTCGCTTAGACGTCTATCTACACCATGTTGACAATCGTATACCTTGTGATTTACCACGACAAATGGGACGTGATCAAATGGCAGACGACTATCCTCCCATAATACCTTGTGTTTTTTAGCTGCCAAGTCTATGTTACAAAACAAATTTTTACAAATTTGAGAAGCATACTCAACTTGTCACCCTTCCTTTAGACGATAATGTGTCAAAAAGGATCATGACATCGATAATGATACCTAGTTACCTGTCACTTACGAGCATGCATAGGGCCCGTCAAATAAGTGAGATATCGTTCTTACAGTCAACTCTCATCTACCGCTCACCATCCCCCCCTAAGTGCCTTTAGATCAAATCCCCCTACTTTATTCAAATGTCTACCAAGAAGCATCAAGCCCAGGATATTACATGACGGAAAAAATACAATCGCATATGACAAGAAGATTGGCCTCTCACCTGTGTTTCCAAAACCTTTGTCAGTTGACTTGCTACAATAGAATTTGGTGACGGTGGCAGTTTCATATTCTCGAAGAATGAACTCTGCTGACCTGACATCCTTCACCAGACCTGACCTTTCAGACAACTTTCTCTCAAACAATGAACTCACTTCTTGACAAGTTAATTTACGTGCCATCATAGAATTGGAAATTTTGTTCAGAAAGCGAAATTATCGATTGGAATACGGCCGAACGCTGAATACGAATTGAGTGAGCAAACAGATACTTTGATATCTCGCACGATAACAAATTTCCCGCCTTTGCGAGTTTGGACCATTCAATTGTCTGGGAGTTAATCGACCGTATCATTTATCTTTCCTCTCCATTTCCGGTGTTTTAAAATCCTCCTTTTGACAGATTTCGTGGAGGTGTTACTATGTTGTAGTTGTAATCGGCCATCCGTGAAAAGGAGGTATCGCAAAAATTTTGTGGAGTCTGTAATAAAGGTAAGCAACGAAAAAAAAAAGCAATATCTTACGCCTAATACGAAGTCATGAGCGAAAACGAAGCACGTGTTCGTTTCTATTCTGTTTTGCGGGTCTAATATGCTAAATAGGGTCTTCATCACGAAGACAACATCGGGCGAGCTCGGATTTCGTAATCGGAAATCTACCCGAGATGACCTCCTTCTGACGGATGTCGGAGTGTGCTTTCCGTATTTTTGAATGCAGTCGAAGTAAGCGCAAGAGGATTTCTGGGATGCTAGTGAACTATATTAGTACGTCATATATCAGACATTATAGTATGCCATGAGTTATTTGTTCCGCTGAAAGTATTGCAGTATTGGGAACACCTAACACGTCATTTCTCGGAAAAATGTTCAGCACAGATTTCTTGTTCGATTCCTGAGGGTTTTAGATGAACTTACCTCAGTTAACATACAAGGCTTTATTGTTAGGTAAGTTTATCATGTCGACAAGGATGCAGCTTAGGATGTATATTTTAGACGTGGATGTTGATCTGCAGATCGTGGAAACTTTGAAGGAAAATTTTACTTATTCGAAAAGAGATAATTTTACCCTTTAAATCAACGACGAATGCTCAGTAGAGCAGCTAAATTTACGAAGCGAGCAAGGTCTGAAATACGATACATTGACTTCATCAGGATGACGCCATTGGATGGAATGATGGAATGGCGAAATTGAGGAATATTCTACAGCGTTTAGCAAGGATGAATTGAAGCGGTGAAATATACCAATGCAAGTACAGCCAGTGAGGTCAGACTCCAGCTTCTCCTCGACTTAGGGGGAAGGGCCATTTACACTCAAATTCATTCTATCTTTTAATTTTTTATCAGTGTAGTTATGCTTAACGCATATTTGTCAAACCTTCGGTTAATCGATGAGAAATGCCATTTACAGTTCAGTTTTAATTGCTAATACTTACATATAGTTTTTTCTAATATATATAATAAATTATATTTGAACTGTTAATGGGGACTTACATTATCATAATTATTTTTGGGAGGGACATGACTTCATGATGGTAAGAGGTTGGAAAAAAATGTCTTTTTTCTTGGTTGGGAGGGAAGCTGGGTACAAAGGATGTAATACACATATGTCTATACTACTCCCCCTTTTACCAGCAATAAGTAATGTTTGTCCAATTGATTTATCTTCTTCACTTTCTGGCCTGAATTAAATAATTCTTATTTTTAGGATGAAATGGTCTCAAATGTGATTAATTATCCAAGGAGAATGGCCCTGGCACAATAAAATTCCAAACATTCAAAGGTCTACAACATTGAGAAAAAAAACACAGAACTTTAACTGTAAGCTGCAAAAGCCTCAGCACTAAATGAGTGAAGATACAACAAATCTCAACAAAGCACTCCTCTTGAAGCTTATATATTAGAAATTGTGTTCTTTGTTAAAGCAACTCATGAAAAGTATCTAATGTTTCCTCTATTCTATTTGACCAAGCTTATAATTCACCAATCATGCCATTCTCATGATTTGTCAATCAGGAGTAGTTTTGTTAAACACAGACAACTGATTGTAGCATGTACAGTATGTACATCATATACGTTTCACATTGTGATATAAATACTATTACCTTTTTCCAATGGCGTGGAGAAGACTGGCAAATGAATGACAAAATTATCTACTTTTTTATATCTTTTAGCTGAGTTAGTAAATGGAGTAAACTGGTCTTGACTAATCAACCTCAAGGGGACTTGATTACAAGGTACAATATTTTGACTTGAATTAACTCTAATTTGTGATGTTATTTTTTAAGTAAGTGAAAATGATGATGAAAAAAGGTAGTGCCTCCTTCTGTGATTTAAAAAGGAACCTGTTTATGATCCCCTGAAGGTTTTTAGGTCTGGAGTAATGATTTTAGTTCCATTATTTTGCACACGTATTGATTACAGTATTATATTTTTTCATTAATTTCATATTCATTAAAAGAAGTATGAAGGCATAGCGTCATATTCATAACTATGTTAACTTAATAACTTGCTTTGCAGATAGCTTTGCACACTCTTTAGGCAGCCATGGCAACAGGCACAAGCAAAACCCCTTTTTTAATTGTGCCAACAACACTTCCAGGACCTCCTGCCATACCCACAGTTCTCACCAGTCCCTCAGCAGCAGCAGCAGGCCCTGGTGGGTACAATAACTTTCTTGTTTACTTTTATTTAACTGTAAAATTCACACCTTACCTCTGGGCCATTAGGTGGCAGGTAGTTTTGTTTTCAGGAGAATCTCAACATTTTCTGTCTGGTGACACAAAGGAAAATATCACACCACTGACTCCTGAGGGGGTGGGGGGGAGGGTTGTTGGGTCAATTTTTGCTGGGTGTGTGTCATTGGCCTCTCAGAACCCCTACTCCATTATATTGCATTCTGTGGCTAGTTATAGACCCCCATCTTAGTGACTTTTGGGCAAATGTAATTTTGTGATTTTTATGGAAGGGTAAAGAATCTTACTACTTTTGAATCCCTACTTACCAGAATTTTCTTAGTCCCAAAATCCAAAAAAAGTGCAACTCCATTTGTTGAAAAGACTAAGTGTAGCCTTAGAGAAAACAAACACAATGATTATTAATTGTGAACAAGATTACCCCTTTGGCATGGAGTTATCGACAAAGAGTGACACATGGTTGCATACATCATGTGACAACAGCAAAAAACAACTTTTATTGGCACCAGGATTACAAGTTATTATATAATTGTCTTTGTTTTAAGCTTTTGTTTTTGCAAAGCTTCTTAGTAGCTTTTGTAACCTTTAGTCTCATGTTGTGAGCCAAACTTCTTCCCAATCTGATGAAGGATCAGTAGTGGAGTGTAAGAGTGCCTTCTGAAGGCACTGAAGTGCCTTCTGATTGACCCGCCTCGAATAGCAAATTTGCTATCTGCGGGTCAACATAATCTAAATTATTTTGTAAGAAAAAGAAAATAAAGTGTGTAAAGTGTGTGTAAAGTGAAGGATCTTGATATTAGTTTATATTTGGTGTTTCCTCCAACCACTTCTTTTGTAAATCTATTGAAAATGTAACACGATTATGATATGAACCCATCCAATGGCACATCCCCTTTAGCCTATTACTAAAAAGAACCCCCCTTTCCCTGATCACTGACTTCAGTGTTGTTTTGATCATGTTTTTCCTTGATCGCTGTTAAATGAATTTGTAAGGAAAAAAATTGATGAAAATGTATCCTCGGCACATGGAAGTTTACATGATCAGTATGAATGGTTCTTACTTCTCAGTAATTATAAGCCCAAGCAAGAAAACAAACTGATGCCAGGTGCCAAATAAAGAGGAAAAGGAGGCCAATTCCTGCATGCCTAACCTCATATTTGAGCCTTCACTTCACATATGGCGAAGTTTAGGCAAGAATGTTATTAATCCAACATCATTTCCAACATCATTTTCTGGATTTTTGCCCCATTCAATGGTGCAGTGTGGAGGCATGTTTAATACTTACCGTTTCCCTATTACAGTAAAAGTTGAATTATAGATGTATGTATTTGCTCGCTTGAAAAAAGACAAAGGAGTATTCATAGTCTATGAAATTGGCAACTTTCTCGAAACCAATGGTGAGATTCCCCCAAATGCTTCAATTGTAAACCTAAAATCTTAAAGTTCAATGTTAACCTACATTTCAAGTGAGATCTATTTCAGTCTGTGGCAAAAACTGTTGTTTTCTTTTGTAATTTCTTACAGTCAGCAGCTTTGATTTGGGTGACAAACAAAAAAGATGGGTTGTGATTGGAATCACATTAAATAGGCTTCTATTACCAGTTCTCCGTGACTTTGCGGGCAAGGAACTTGCTAAACACTACACATCATTGAAGAGCTCCAGTGGAATAGATAAACAGGTTTATTCCACTCACATGAAGAAAGATGGTTCATTTGATTTAAACTATGGCAGCATCAACAACAACTGGGGAAGATTCAAGAGGAAAGTGCAACTATATGATTATAAAGTGGCGTCTGCTGAGAATCTGGCCAAACTTTACCTTGAACCACATATGGCCAAATTTACAGGTAAATGATTAGTTACGAAAATTGGCGGCAATTTCGCAACGTAATTGGCCGATTTGCCATCGTCGATAAGAGTACAAACAACGCTGCTTGCGTCAACGTGTCACGCAATGTCTTTACAAGCTGTCAAACATGGGTGACTTGGACATTTTGATATTGTGGAAAAAAACAAACTGATAGTGGTTAGGCGTGGTCTGTACTCTTATCGACAACGATATTCGTCATCACAGTCAAAATTTGTCGCTAAGAGTACAGACCACGCCAATGTTGAATCTCTAGTCGATCTTTTTGCTAATTATAACTTACAGTGGAATATAATGACAAGGAACAAATCTGGGAATATGGAATCGTTCCAGATCAGCCTGCAGTTCCTTATTGGCGCGTCAATCTCTGACACAGGTCGCCTGGCGTACTTGGCGTTATACACATGTCGAAGAGACTCTCGGCCCAACGAGACTCTGAAGTCAGTCAAGAGCCATACTTGCAACTTGGAAACTATCCTGACAGATCAGGATATCGTTTACACGGCTTTTTTAATGCTTTGACTCGATCTTTCTCTTCAGTTCACAAATTGATCATGGTAAAATCCCCTTTTCGGTTACGGCTTTATCTCGCTTTTTAGCCATGACATGTCAAGTCTGCTCAAGTTGTTGTGTAAAGTTAGGGTAACTTTGGCAGCGGTTTGACGCTGTCGAGTCACTACCTTGACATGCAGGAGCTTCAGGCTTACGCAAGAGTGTAACAATAGTTAAATGAGCCTACTGAATAATGGCTGAATTTGACCTGAGATGGCATGAGCACTAAACGATGCAATGCAGCAGTTATCTTTTTAGATTAAGAAGACTTTCAGAAGGCTTCTACTGATAATGTATCTTGTAAAGATATCTTACTCCTTGTGCTAACTTAAAATATAAATCTTATTGCCTATTTTCAGGTTTTGATAACACATGCGACTTGTCAGCAGTGTTAGGAATGCTGGCCAACTCGTCTGTGTTTCATACGCGCATCCAAACAAATGCTAAGGATGTGCGCTCGAAAGTAAGAAATGAGTGGGGACACTGTAACTTTGATCACTGGAATGAACCGGATTTCAACTACAGTTTCCAACTCATGGAGACATTAATTCGTTCTTTGGGGCTTCCAGTGGCTGATGAAAAGAAAGTACTTGATGAACTTCAGGAGTGGGAAACTAAGGGTCAGTAATTTCAATAACGATATGGTGGTGTGTATGGGGCGTATCAGGCCCTAACCAACACTTTTGGATACCTCTCCCTGAGTGAGCGCCAGTCTTTCTTTAAGGTCTTTGTGAGCTGATCTTCTTTACCGGCATTTACCTTGTGGGGATTTATCTACTGTCTCGATGGAAAGTGTGAAGTCCGTTGTTTTCCACCTTTCCTTCTCATTTCTTTCTCTTCATTATAAAGGCGCCTTGGCTACCCAAGGTAAAATAATCATATCATGGCTGACGTTGTATCCATTTAAATTGTTTCTTGGCAGGTTTGCAATTGTGTATGGGTTGCCCAGTGGACAAGGATTTGATGAAACTTGTCAGTATTGAGGTCATCAACTTAGAACAAAACTTGGAGGCCATAAAGAAATCCAATGCTGATGAAGCCACGAAGATACGAGAAGCTCTTCAAGACGCCATAGATGAAATAGCGAAGTTTGAGAAACGTATAGCCGTCATGGAAAGTCGACTGGAGGAAGAGCTGCAGGCGAAATCAGAAAAGAACAAAGAATTCTCATCAGCGATTGAAGATATTTCTAACAATATAAATATAATAGAGGAACGCCAAGATACAAATGAAAAAAACATTTCTTTGTTGGAAGAAAGGCAAAATGAGGTAGAATCAGCTGTAGCCTCTTTAAAAGACGGAGAGAGTAACCTAAGCTCAAAGGTGGAGGTTTTAGAGTTCGGACAAACTCAGTTAGATTCTCGGCTGAAAAAGTTAGAAGGTAATTTTAACGCCGTAGTCGATGCTAACATTTTTCAACTGCCTAGTCGCAATCGTTGCTTTTGTGGTCGCGAAAGTGAGCTAAAAGCAATTGCAGCGCGATTAAAAAATACTACGAGGGGTTGTTCTGAATCAGTAATTTGCGGTCTCGGGGGTGTTGGAAAAACATCTCTTGCTGTCGAGTTTCTCTGGCGACAGAAAGACAAGGAGGAATATCCCGGTGGTATTTTTTGGATTTCGGGCGAAAACAACAACCTTTTTCAGTTGTCTGTCAGCGAGATGGCACGTCAAGTTGGAACTTTTGATGACAAAGACTTTCCTAATTCGCTTTCAAGAACCTTGGACTGGTTGACAAAGCGTGAGCAGCTGTGGTGTCTAGTGGTTGACAATCTGGATGAGTTAGAAATGTCCATTGATATGCGGAAGTTGCTTACTGGTCATTGGAAACAGGCTGCACGTGGTCATATCATCACAACCACAAGGAGAGAAGCAACCGAAATCGAAGAAGAAACGGGAATCGAAGAAAGCTCTTGTATTGAGTTGAAATGCTTTAAAAAGGAAGAAGGAGTTCAGTTCTTAAAAACAAGAAGTGGAACAGCCGGAGAAGACAACGATTTTCGTAAGTTAGTTGGAGAGCTTGGCGGATTGCCTTTAGCTCTTGATCAAGCAGCTGCTTACATCCGATTCCTTCGCCAGCCTATCAAAGAATATCTGAAGAAGTATAGAAAACAAAAGATGCTTCTCTTGAAGAAGAAGAAGGCTCGCAATCTGGTGGAAAATACATCACCTGAGAGATTGGCAGTTCACACAACATGGTTGTTAAATTTTGACCACGTCAATCAAATGTCAGAAAAGATGGATCTTGGAGAAACTCCCTCAATCGTTATGAAAATGTCTGCCTACCTAGGTCCCGATGATATTCCTTATCAGGTGATAAACGAAGGGCTCCACGTGGTGGAAACCCCTGGCCAGGAAGTAAGTGATTGGTGGGATGCAGTCGAAACAGTGTCCCTGCTTACGAAGTTTTCCCTTTTTCAAAGGCATGGGACAGATTCTTTCAGTGTTCATCGTCTGGTTCAAGACGTTATTCGAAGTGAGATTGAAAAGGACAAAATTGAAAAGCGTATACTTTGCTACGCAGTGTGCGCACTCAACCATGCATTAAAAAACACGCGCTCGCCAGCGGAAATCTGCCAAAGTTTCGTTGAAGATGCTGTTTTCAGCGTTGAGAATCCTCCTTCGTTACAAAAGTGGGGCAAGCTGGCTTCGCACTCGACCTATTTGCAAGAGCATTTGCTTAGCTACCTGGCGAAACATGAACATGATGTCGAAAGTTTGCGTACTTTGCTCTACACTGATGCAACTGTTCGTATCTTTAACGAAGCAGCGATATTTTTTAGTGTTTCGCAGGAGAAAGTGAAAGCTCAGGCAATGCAAAAAAAGAAACTAGAGTTGTTAGTGCACCTTGAAAAGCCAACCCCTGAGGAAGATTGCAACTTGCCGCATTATTTTGTTGATGTACCTTTAAAAGACAAGGACTACAAGGTGATAACTTGTTGTATGAGAAATCCTCCCTCTGAAAATGAGGCTGTGGCTGAAGAAAACGAAAGGAAGAAGGAAGCCGACCAACTCAGAGAAAAAGGAAACAATGCATTTAAAAATGGCAAGCTCAAAGAAGCACTTGATCTTTATGCAAGAGCCATTGATTTGTGCCCTAATGACCACCGCTCGTTTTGTAACAGGGCCCTCTGCCATTTGAACCTGGGAAAACCAAGAAATGCTCTGGAAGATTGTCAAAAATGCCTTGATCTAAAACCTGGTTACAGCAAAGCACTTCAACGAAAGGCTTGGGCCCTGCGAGAACTTGTTGAAGGTGGAAATAGTGAGCTCGAAGGGCAGAAACGTGCAGCTGTGGCCTGTGCCCTTCACTTCGATCCCACTCTCCGCCAAGACGAAACGTTTTCCCGGATGTTTCCCGAAGTGCTAGTTCTTCGTATCAGAGAGATATACAATGAAAAGCAGCTAGCGTTTGCTTTGATGACGACTCGAAGAAACGAAACCTTGTTGTTACACGAAAGAGAGTACCATCTTAGTGCCTTTGGAATTGTAAATGACCTTCAGATTGTAGGTCTCGGACCCCACACTTACTTAAATTGTGCAAAGATTTGCCGAATTAATAACGCCAAATGCTATTTTGAAAATATTGTGTTTCCTAGAGGGAATGTTGCTCTAATCTGCCGTGGAAACAATGGCGCTGTACACTTAAATCAGTGTGAGATTTCAGGAGGAGGGACAAGTTGTGAGGACTTTCCGGAATGTAACGGAGGTCCAGGCTGTATGGCGCCCTCTTTAGGGAAACTTGCTTGTGATCGGACAGGAAGGTTTGGTCGTTCAGTGTCTGGCATAGCTGGCTTTCCGGGAGTCGACATTTCAGACGAGAGCTCTGGATTGATTGAAAACTGTGTAATTTATAGGTGTGGGGGTGGAGGTGCTCTTGTTTGTGGGAAAGGTTCTCGACTATTGGTTAAAAACTGTAAAGTGTACAAGAACCACCAATCTGGATTAGAGGCAAGGGAAGGAGGAGAACTTGAAGCTCTTGGAAACAAGATATTCGATAATGGTAATCACGGCATTCTGATTTGGAAGCTCTCTGGGAAATGTGACATCAACGACAATAAGATTTTTGAAAATGCAAAGGTAGGCATTTTTGTTGTCGACACAAAAGAGAAGATAACCCTACGCAACAACAGTATCCATCACAACAGACCCTTTGGTATTTCCCTTGATCATGACATTTCTCAAGTTCTTATTAGCAAAAATGAGATTTTCGAGAATGGATTCTGGGGTATCCTCGCTAAAGGGCGAACATCGGCATTCATAGTAGGAAACAAACTCACTGGTAACAAGTGTGGAGGAATTATTATTGGTGTCAATTATTCTGGAAGGGTTCATCTAGAGAGAAATACTGTAAGAGATCACAGTGGCCCTTGGCTTGAGTATCAATTCAAAAATGGTGGCGCTACTATTGATGACAGTTTACCTGACGTCAAAGAGGCTGATGCTCTTCCGGAGGGTGAAACGCATTGTTATTCAAAGCCTCCCATTCTAAAAGAAAATAAACAATTTAACAATGAGGAAGGCTTGTATCATCCCAGAGAGCTGGTTGAACGACTTAGCAATGACTGCACTTATTGTCATCGTCAAAGACACAAAACAGTGCGGTTTATGAAGTGCGCAGGATGTCTCATTGCATCGTACTGCAGTAAGGAATGCCAACGCAACCACAGACCTAAGCATGAGACATTATGTTTCGCTCTTAAAACTCGTTATGCTGTGGACGTTGACCGTATTTCCCTTACTATGTCAGAATTTGTAGCAATGCCGCGGATGTTTGGCTCTCACTTGGTGGGAATTGGAGAGGGTCCAAAACCAGAACCTAACAAGGAGTTCATCGTCAAAATTCAAACACAAACTCTAAACAGCCACCCAATGCAGTTGCTAAGCCTTTACGACCAAAGTGTCACTATAGAGTGTTTTATACAAAGTCCAGAAATCTTCAACGTGATAATGAACTGTGGCGTTCTTGGAGCTTTAAACAAGTTTACAAGTAAGAAATGTTTTTTCTGGGCCATGTTTACTGAGCCAGGAGGAAAACTGACAATTTATCTTGATCATTTGGCTCCTTATCAGAAGTGGTAAAGGTCTGAGTGTAATTTAGATATCAGAGTTCTCGGTACAATAAATACCCCAAAGATTTAACTACCACATCTTTTTTGAGGGGTCAGACAGTCACAAATAGTTGTCATTTTGACCAATACTCTTTCAAACACATGGTCAAAACCCTTAGTTTTCGGTTTTTTGGTAATCAGACTTGAAAATTACTCTTTACTTTTTAAAAAAAGATTCTTAGTAATCATTAATGCATAAAGTACATGATAAGTAATTATTTCTCTATTTTGCAGTGCAATGTCAAAGTGGAAAGACAGACTTACTGTCCAATGCCATGTGTTAAAAAATCAAACTTAAGTGCCGCTCCCTCTAAGAGCGGTCCTCTCGACTTTCCGTCGGAAAAAAGTTTTCTTTTATTTTTTGCCCATGAAAAGGGTTTAGGACACATGTTTCAAAAATAGTGTAGTTGTTCTCCAATTCTCTTTTTTTTGCGTCGCCACAAGCCAAAAATGATTTTTGCCAGACCACCCCTGTGGACAGCGATCGAAAGTGTAAATTTCAAAGATTTTGTCCAGCGCGCAGCGACTGCAACAATGTAGCTCACGGAATTCTATCTTGCCGCAAGTTACAAGGTGTATTCAGTTAGTTCACAGACAAAATATGGAAACTTCAGCTGAAATATTTTTCATACCAGCGTGATCAGAGGAGACCCTTCTCTTCGACCTCAATTTGCATATAAAAAATTCACTGCTTTGTACGAAAGAATTCTCGAAATGCAGGCGTTAATCGGGCTGAAAAAGTATATCAGTGCATAGTTTATACACCAATGAGGTCACAGATTGCCTCAAACCCGCGGGTATATCTCTAGCTTCCATCCACCAACTTCTCAAAAACAACGGAAATCAATGTGTTTGCTCAATTGCGCTCGTGTCAAAGATCATTTGTATGATTCTTAGAATTGACTAAGATCTCCTTTTGACCGTTCAAACTTCGTTCGTTTATCTTCTACGTTGAGGATTTTAGGTTTTCACAGCAACTGAATGGAGATTAGAGGCCGAGTGGTCCTAAAACATTGCGTAAACGTGAACGGTTGTGACGCTCGCGCGCTTGCGTGACTTACAAAGTAGACAAAGGTGATCGGAAGGCGCCTTCTCGATAATTTACGTTGAAATATCAGGTCATGAACTACGCACAGTGTGAAGAAGATCAAAATTAAAGAATAAAATTTGGCACTCTGGTCATAACAGACATATCGCGTTGCTTAAAAGGACACAAAAACAAGTTAAAATAAGTTACAGTGTTTATATTTACAAAACAACACGCATACACTCTGAAATAATTCTTGGAGTTTCTCCCGAGATTCAGTATACGGAACCCGATGAACTAACCCTCCTTTCTGCAAATTTGTTTTCGTCATTAATGATGTTACGCTCTTATGGACCACAACGGTTTTGAGCGACAAACTCAACATTTCCCTGCGACCATCAAAATCAATTGCACAAACCGAGCTAGATATATTGCGTGACGTGATTGTGCAAACGTTTCTCTTTGTCATACGACCTGTTTCGCAGGTTCTACAAGTTGGAATCAAAATTAGTTAGGGTAACGAATAAGAATCGAAAGTTATTAACATGGACTGAATTACATTTTAATGATAATTTTAACTTTTAAAAAGGTTTACTTGATTCATGGAAAGCAAAGATTGGAGTGGCTTTGGGTATTTAAGCCCTGATTTCTCTCTGCTAAATGATAATACAAGACATGAAGCCAGCTACTGTAGTTCTTATCAAACTCAAATGGGTCTTCACATGGAGAGCTGTTGGGTTCTGCCTTATGGACAAAACTGATCAAGTTCATTATACAAAGTATTACTTGGTTTTCAGTTTTTTAATTTTCTTCTGAACATTTCCCCCTTTTGAAATCCCGCAAAGCATAGGACCAAAGGAGTCCCTCCAAAAAGCAAGGATTTTTTATTAAAATTTCCTCACAAAGCTGGAGAATATCGGGTGACAAAATAGGAAATCCTTGAAGTATAAAGTTTTCAGTCAAGTATCCATAGGCAATAAGAGTAATTCCTCTCTCATCAGTGAAGTTGCTTTTCCACAGAACTTCAAGGCCCTCTTTAACCAGTTTGTAAGCTTGAAGATAAATTCTTGCTGTTGGGGACCAATCAAACTGACAAAATATTTATTCTGTGAAAACCACAGGGTTAGAAATTGCAAATGGATGCCCATCTGCCTCAGCTCTCTGCCTTATTAATCTTTCATTCATGATGTCAAATGACTGTTTAAAAGCCTTTGTTGAAACATCTGATCTGTCATGCTTCAAGTCATCATTCAGTTGGCACTGCTGAAGAAACTAACAACAATAAAGATACATTTAGTAAGTGGTCAACAAATGGTATTGAGACAATCTTGAAGTCACAGAATACCAATTGTATTTATTTGATTGGTAATTCTCCCTTGTAGCTATACATAAAGCAGCTATGGCAATACTTTATTCTTTTATGGTGCTTAATTATAATCAGAGATTGCATTCTCCCTTTGGGCCTAAAAAAAAAAAAGGTAAAACAAAAGCAAAGCAAAACGAACAACAAATTCCAGAGGAGCAAAAAATAACTAAAAATGAATTCATCAATTTAAATCTGGAGGGGGTGGGGGTCCTGGGGAGACACTTGACCTCTTTTGCCTTCTCTGGCTTTTGACTAAGAGTCGGCTCCAGGGAAAGGAAGTTTGATTTTCTGGTGCAGCCATCTTAGGAACATGTAAGGAAACATTAAATGGAAGGAACATGGTCATCTTTAAGATTTAAATTCCCTTGGAATGTTCAGAGTACTAAAGGAAATTGCAAATCTCGGCGTAATTCAAATGAAGCCTTCAAAAGATAAAAATAACAGCTCCTGCCAATGCTTGGAGGGATATTGTTAGCTCAAATTGAGAGGATTTGATCTGATTAACTCAATTTTCAAGAAAGAGGGTGCGGATTTTGACAAGCAATTCTTCTATAAAGTCAAGCTCTCCACATATTTCCCGGCCTAGGCTGTTAGGATAATTGATTACAATGTATCTCCTTCTAAATTGTTCACATTACATTGCCAGATTAAACCAACCTCTTTGGCCCCGACATAACCGCTTACAGAAGCTTTTTCAAGCCAACGTTTTGCCTTCCTTAAGTCCCTAATCTGCTCACAACGTCCATCCAGATATATCTGTCAAAGTTTCAGCTGGGCCTCAGTGTTTCCTAGTTCCGCAGCTCTGGTCAAGTAGTGAACAGCTTTCGTTGGCTGCGGTTTCCCTTCTGGGCAATCTCCTATAAGATAATACTTGTACAAAGATGTCAAAGCTTTTTGTCGGGAATCATCCACAGAATTCAGAATTTTGTTATTGTTCCAAAAACAGGGAGACTTAAAGATCCCAGCTCTGTGCCATATTCGATTGTAGTTTCCCCTGCCGCCTTTCTGTACCATTCAAACGCTTCTTTGATGTCTATGTTCACCACTCCTTCAACTTCACATCGATACATTTCAGCCAAATTAAGCTGCGCAGGTGTACTTCCCAGACGCGCTGCCTTGTGATACAAATCGTACGCTTTTCGCTGGTTATGTGGCTCTCCTGTGAAACCAGCAATTGACCAAGTTCTTGCATTACCGAGGAAAGAGTGCAACCATTTTGGACAGCTGTGTCTAGCCAGCCAATAGCTTTCTCAGTGTCCTTCTCCACGAATCCTTCGATACCTCTAGAATAAGCGGTACCAAGGTGAATTTGGCAGGATACTTCACCCTTCTTGGCTCGAGCGATTAAAAAATCTACTGAACCATACGATTCTTTGAAATAATTTTTCAGATCAAAGTCTTCTGCTTTGAAAAATTTCATGTTTGAATACAGTCGAAGTAATTCGTAAACCGAAAGCTTAGTAGGACTTCCGGGATGCAAGTGAAATTTATTAGTAAGTCATATATCAAACAATACAGTATGCCATAAGTTATTTTGTTTAGTCCGCTGAAAGTATTGCAGGCCTAGGAATAAAAAACACGTGCTCTGAAAAGGACGATTCCGCTGAGCAAAGACGAATCTTTTTTCTGGTGTGTTACCACCCAAGAATCCTTTTTGAAGTATGATGAATTTTCAAGGGAAAGGTTTTGTTATTTTATTGACAGCTCAGTGACGAGAGCTCGTGGAACGTGAGGGCGTGCGTGTTCCTTCGTGAAAGCGCGCAAGGAGGGTGAACTACACCAGAAAGAATAAAGAGGGTAAGTTTCTGAAGAAACTGTGGTGCTACGTCGGTAAGAGAGTATAACAGGGTAATATAGTGTTATCAACTGAGTTGAAACGTAAATTTAGGGTACGAAGGGCTAACGCTCGAAACCTCAGTCTTTAAACTCTTTACGGTGGCCAATTTACGCTAGGGTTAGGGTTAGAAGGATTATTTTACAATAAATAATTTAAATAAATCAAAGTTGGATTTATTTAAGTTCACAAGGCAACCAGGTGGACAATCAGACATGGTTTGATGCTGCTCATGTGTAAAGATTTAATGAATGTAATCAAGAAGTTACAATTCACAGACCCAATGTTTTGACACTCCTGTTTAGTGCCTTCATCAGGGGTGATCTGATCACTGCAATAAGAGGTCCTTTTATATGCTACTAATTAGCTTCCCTTTGGCATAAATAGTGTTGGTTTGTCGTTCTTTTAACTCTATTTATTCTATTCCATGCTGTGACTGTGATCACGAGTATATTGGACAGACCAGTCGGTCTGTCAGTTTGAAAAAGCATCAAAAAGCAGTCTCCTATTGCACAAAAGAAAACTCAGCTATGTCAGAGCACACATGCCTAATTAACCATACAACTGGATGAAATAAGTCTAAAATTATCACCACTAATTCACATTACCACCAGTACCTTTGTTTGGAAGCCTGGCATATCAACCATGCCCATGTTCCTTTACTTACTACCTGACACCTATGTACAGCTAATTAGTGAGCTTATAAAAGGACCTTGTTGCAGCAGACAACTGATTCTAGCATGCACAGTATTGCACATGTACAATTGATTCTAGCATGTACAGTATGTGGGTCGCATACCTTTCACATTGTAATGCAAATACTATTACGTTTTACCAATGGCACAAAGAAAACTGGCAAATGAGTAACAAAATTATCTACCTTTCAATATGTTTTAGCTGAGTTAGTAAATGGAGTAAATTGATCTTGACTTTCAACCTCAAGGGGATTTGATTACAAGGTGCAATTTTTTGATATGAATTGATTCTAATTTTGTGGTATTATTTTTTAAATAAGTGAAAATGATGATGAAAATAAGGCTGTGCCTCCTTCTGTGATTTTATTATCATCCCTACCTCAAAAGGTATGGAGTAATAATTTTAGTTCCACTATTTTGCACATGCATTGATTACAGTATTATATTTTTTCATTAATGTGATATACATTAAAAGAAATATGTGGGCATAGCTTAATATTCATAACTATGTTTACTTAATAACCTACTTTGTTAATAGCTTTGATGACTCTTTAGGCTGCCATGGCAACAGGCACAAGCAAAACCCCTATTTTAATTGTGCCAATGACACTTCCAGGACCTCCTGCCATACCCACAGTTCTTACCAGTCCCTCAGCAGCAGCAGCAAGCCCTGGTGGGTACAATAACTTTCTTATTTACTTTTGTTCAACTGTAAAATTCACACCTTACCCTTGTGCCCTTGGGTGGCAGGTAGTTTTGTTTGCAGGAGAATCTCTACATTTTCTGTCTGGTGACACTGAGGAAAATATCATTCCACCTTCACACCAATTTTTTCTGGGTATGTGCCACTGGCCTCTCAGAACCCCTACTCCATTATAGTGTATTCTGCGGCCAGTTATAGACCCCATCTTGGCGACTCTTAGGCAAGTGTAATTTTTGTGATCCCAACCAAAGGGGTAAAGAATCTTACCACTTTTGAATCCCTACAGACCAGAAGTTTTTGGATTTTTGCCCCATTCAGTGGTTTAATACTGAGGCATATTTATGTATACCATTGCCCTAGTATAGTAAAAGTTGAATTATAGATGTAAATATTTGCCCCATTGACAGACTGAGGAGTATTCACTGTCTGCGAAATTGGCAACTTTCTTGCACGCAATGGTGAGATTTCCCCAAATGCTTACTATTGTAAACCTAAAATCTTAAAGTTCAATGTTAAGCTACATTTTAAGTGAGATCTATTTCAATATGTGGCAAAAGCTGTTCTTTTCTTTGGTAATTCTTACAGTCAGCAGCTTTGATCTGGGTGACAAACAAAAAAGATGGGTTGTGATTGGAATCACATTAAACAGGCTTCTATTACCAGTTCTCCGTGACTTTGCGGGCAAGGAACTTGCTAGACACTACACATCATTGAAGAGCTCCAGTGGAATAGTTACACAGGTTTATCTCTCTCACATGAAGAAAGATGGCTCATTTGATTTAAACTATGGCAGTATCAACAACAACTGGGGAAAATTCACGAAAAAGTTTCATCAATATGATTATAAAGTGGCGTCTGCTGAGGATCTGGCCAAACTTTACCTTGAACCACACATGGCCAAATTTACAAGTGAATGATTATTTACAAAAATTGGCGGTAATGTCGCAATGTAATTGGCTAATTTGCCATCGTCGATAAGAGTACAAACAACGCTGCTTGCGTCAACGTGTCACGCAATGTCTTTACAAGCTGTCAAACATGGGTGACTTGGACATTTTCATATTGTGGTAAAAAACAAACTGCTAGTGGTTAAGCGTGGTCTGTACTCTTATCGACAACGATATTCGCCTTCACAGTCAAAATTTGTCGCTAAGAGTACAGACCACGCCAATGTTAAATCTCTAGTCGATGTTTTTGCTAATTATAACTTACAGTGGAATATAATGACGAGGAACAAATTTGAGAATATATAATTGTTCCAGATCAGCCCGCGGTTTCTTATTGGCGCGTCAATCTGTGACACAGGTCGCTTGGCGCTATACACATGTCGGAAAGACTCTCGGTCCAACGAGACTCTGGAGTCAGTCAAGAGCTATACTTGCAACTTGGAAACTATCATGACAGATCAGAATTTCGTCTACACGGCTTTTTTAATGCGTTGACTCGATCTTTCCCTTCAGTTCACAAATTGATCATGCTAAGATCCCCTCTTCGGTTACGGCTTTATCTCGCTTCTTAGCCATGACATGTGATGTCTGTTCAAGTTGTTGTGTAAAGTTGAGATAACCTTGGCAGCGGTTTGACGTTGTCGAGTCACTACCTTGACAAGCAGGAGCTTCAGGCTTACGCAAGAGTGTAACAATAGTTAAAGAGCCTACTGAATGATGACTGAATTTGACCTGAGATGGCATGAGCACTAAGCGATGCAATGCAGCAGTTATCGTTTAAGATAAGAAGACTTTCAGAAGGCTTCTACTGATAATGTATCTTGTAAACATATCTTACTCCTTGTGATAACTTATAGTTTAAATCTTATTGCCTATTTTCAGGTTTTGATGACACATGCGACTTGTCAGCAGTGTTAGGAATGCTGGCCAACTCATCTGTGTTTCATACGCGCATCCAAACAAATGCTAAGGATGTGCACTCTAAAGTAAGAAATGAGTGGGGACACTGTAACTTTGATCACTGGAATGAACCGGATTTCAACTACAGTTTCCAACTCATGGAGACATTAATTCGTTCTTTGGGGCTTCCAGTGGCTGATGAAAAGAAAGTACTTGATGAACTTCAGGAGTGGGAAACTAAGGGTCAGTAATTTCAATGACGATATGGTGGTGTGTATGAGGCGTATCAGGCCCTAACCAACACTTTTGGATACCTCTCCCTGAGTGAGCGCCAGTCTTTCTTTAAGGTCTTTGTGAGCTGATCTTCTTTACCGGCATTTACCTTGTGGGGATATATCTACTGTCTCGATGGAAAGTGTGAAGTCCGTTGTTTTCCACCTTTCCTTCTCATTTCTTTCTCTTCATTATCAAAGGCGCCTTGGCTACCCAAGGTAAAATAATCATATCATGGCTGATGTTGTATCCATTTAAATTGTTTCTTGGCAGGTTTGAAATTGTGTATGGGTTGCCCAGTGGACAAGGATTTGATGAAACTTGTCAGTATTGAGGTCACCAACTTAGAGAAAAACTTGGAGGCCATAAAGAAATTCAATGCTGATGAAGCCAAGAGGATAGGAGAAGCTCTTCAAGACGCCATACATGAAATAGCGAAGTTTGAGAAACGTATAGCCGACATTGAAAGTCGACTGGAGGAAGAGCTCCAGGCGCAATCAGAAAAGAACAAAGAATTCTCATCAGCAATTGAAGATATTTCTAACAATATAAATATAATAGAGGAACGCCAAGATACAAATGAACAAAGCATTTCTTTGTTGGAAGAAAGGCAAAATGAGGTAGAATCAGCTGTAGCCTCTTTAAAAGACGGAGAGAGCAACCTTACCTCAAAGGTGGAGGTTTTAGAGCTCGAACAAACTCAGTTAGATTCTCGGCTAAAAAAGTTAGAAGAGGGTAAGCTTGACGCTGTAGTCGATGCTAACATTTTGCAACTGCCCAGTCGCAATCATTGCTTTTGTGGTCGCGAACGTGAGCTAAAAGCAATTGCCACGCAATTAAAAGATACTAAGAGGGGTTGTTCTGAATCAGCAATTTACGGTCTCGGGGGTGTTGGAAAAACATCTCTTGCTGTCGAGTTTCTATGGCGACAGAAAGACAAGGAGGAATATTCTGGTGGTATTTTTTGGATTTCGGGCGAAAACAACAACCTTTTTCAGTTGTCTGTCAGCGAGATGGCACGTCAAGTTGGAACTTTTGATGACAAAGACTTTCCTAATTCGTTGTCAAGAACCTTGGACTGGTTGAGAAAGCGCGAGCAGCTGTGGTGTCTAGTGGTTGACAATCTGGACGAGTTAGAAATGTCCACGGATATGCGAAAACTGCTGACTGGTCACTGGAAACAGGCTGCACGTGGTCATATCATCATAACCACAAGGAGAGAAGCAACGGAAATAGGAGAAGAAATGGGAATCGAAGAAAGCTCTTGTATTGAGTTGAAATGCTTCACGGAGGAAGAAGGAGTTCAGTTTTTAAAAACAAGAGGTGGAACAGCCGGAGAAGACAACGATTTTCGTGAGTTGGTTGGAGAGCTTGGCGGACTGCCTTTAGCTCTTGATCAAGCTGCTGCTTATATCAGATCCCTTCGCCAGCCTATCAAAGAATATCTGAAGAAGTATAGAAAACAAAAGATGCTTCTCTCGAAGAAGAAGAAGGCTCGTAATCTGGTGGAAAATACATCACCTGAGAGATTGGCAGTTCACACAACATGGTCGTTAAATTTTGAGTACGTCATGCAAATGTCAGAAGAGATGGATCTTGGAGAAACCCCCTCAATTGTCATGAAAATGTCTGCCTACCTAGGTCCCGATGATATTCCTTATCAGGTTATAAACGAAGGGCTTCACGTTGTAGGAACTTCCGGCCAGGGAGTAAGCGATTTGTGGGATGCAGCCGAGACAGTGTCGCTGCTTACAAAGTTTTCCCTTTTTCAAAGGTATGGGACAGATTCTTTCAGTGTTCATCGTCTGGTGCAAGACGTTATCCGAAGTGAGATTGAAAAGGACAAAATTGAAGTGCGTATACTTTGCTGTGCGGTGCACGCATTTAACCATGCATTAACAAAAACACGCTCGCCAGCGGAAGTCTGCCAAAGTTTCGTTGAAGATGCTGTTTTCAGCGTCGAGAATCCTCCTTCGTTACAACTGTGGGGCAAGCTGGCTTCGCACTCGACCTGTTTGCAAGAGCATTTGCTTAGCTACCTGGCGAAACGTGAAAATGATGTCGAAAGTTTGCGTACTTTGCTCTACACTGATGCAACTGTTCGTATCTTTAACGAAGCAGCGATATTTTTTAGTATTTCGCAGGAGAAAGTGAAAGCTCAGGCAATGCAAAAAAAGAAACTAGAGTTGTTAGTACACCTTGAAAAGCCCACCCCTGAGGAAGATTGATGTACCTTTAAAAGACAAGGACTACAAGGTGATAACTTGTTGTATGAGAAATCCTCCCTCTGAAAATGAGGCTGTGGCTGAAGATAACGAAAGGAAGAAGGAAGCCGACCAACTCAGAGAAAAAGGAAACAATGCATTAAAAAATAGCAAGCTCAAAGAAGCACTTGATCTTTATACAAGAGCCATTGATTTGTGGCCTAATGACCACCGCTTGTTTTGTAACAGGGCCCTCTGCAATTTGAAACTGGGAAAACCAAGAAATGCTCTGGAAGATTGTCAAAAATGCCTTTATCTAAAACCTGATTACAGCAAAGCACTTCAACGAAAGGCTTGGGCCCTGCGAGAACTTGTTGAAGGTGGAAATAGTGAGCTCGAAGGGCAGAAACGTGCAGCTGTGGCCTGTGCCCTTCACTTCCATCCCACTCTCCGCCAAGACGAAACGTTTTCCCGGATGTTTCCCGAAGTGCTAGTTCTTCGTATCAGAGAGATATACAATGAAAAGCAGCTAGCGTTTGCTTTGATGACGACTCGAAGAAACGAAACCTTGTTGTTACACGAAAGAGAGTACCATCTTAGTGCCTTTGGAATTGTAAATGACCTTCAGATTGTAGGTCTCGGACCCCACACTTACTTAAATTGTGCAAAGTTTTGCCAAATTAATAACGCCAAATGCTATTTTGAAAATATTGTGTTTCCTAGAGGGAATGTTGCTCTAATCTGCCGTGGAAACAATGGCGCTGTACACTTAAATCAGTGTGAGATTTCAGGAGGAGAGACGAGTTGTGAGGACTTTCCAGAATGTAACGGAGGTCCAGGCTGCGTGGCGCCCTCTTCAGGGAAACCTGCCAGGGATCAGACAGGAAGCTTTGGTCATTCAATGTCTGGCATAGCTGGCTTTCCCGGAGTCGACACTTCACACGAGAGCTCTGGATTGATTGAAAACTGTGTAATTCATAGGTGTGGGGGTGGAGGTGCTCTTGTTTGTGGGAAAGGTTCTCGACTATTGGTTAAAAACTGTGAAGTGCACAAGAACCACCAATCTGGATTAGAGGCAAGGGAAGGAGGAGAACTTGAAGCTATTGGAAACAAGATATTCGATAATGGTAATCACGGCATTCTGATTTGGAAGCTCGCTGGGAAATGTGACCTCAACGATAATAAGATTTTTGAAAATGCAAAGGAAGGCATTCTTGTTGTCGATACAAAAGAGAAGATAACCCTACGCAACAACAGTATCCATCACAACAGACCCTTTGGTATTTCCCTTGATCATGACAATTCTCAAGTTCTTATTAGCAACAATGAGATTTTCGAGAATGGATTCTGGGGCATCCTCGCTAAAGGGCGAACATCGGCATTCATAGTAGGAAACAAACTCACTGGTAACAAGTGTGGAGGAATTTTTATTGGTTTTAATTATTCTGGAAGGGTTCATCTAGAGAGAAATACTGTAAGAGATCACAGTGGCCCTTGGCTTGAGTATCAATTCAAAAACGGTGGCGCGACTATTGATGACAGTTTATCTGAAGTCAGAGAGGCTGATGCTCTGGGTTTTATGCTTCCGGAGGGTGAAATGCATTTATATTCAAAGCCTCCCATTCTAAAAGAAAATAAACTTTTTAACAATGAGGAAGGCTTGTATCATCCCAGAGAGCTGGTTGAACGACTTAGCAATGGCTGCACTTATTGTCATCGTCAAAGAGACAAAACAATGCGGTTTTTGAAGTGCCCAGGATGCCACATTGCATCGTACTGCAGTAAGGAATGCCGGCGCAGCCACAGACCTACACACGAGACATTATGTTTCGCTCTAAAATCTCGTTATGCTGTGGACGTTGACTGCACTCCCCTAGCTAAGCAAGGATTTACGTCGCATGTGTTTGGTTCTCACCTAGTGGGAATTGGAGAGGGTCCAACACCAGAACCTAACAGGGAGTTCATCGTCAAAATTCAAACAAAACATCTTAACAGTCACCCACTGCAGATGATGAGGCTTTACGACCAAAGTGTCACCACAGATTGCCTAATACAAAGTCCAGAAATCTTCAATGTGATAATGGACTGTGGCGTTCTTGGAGCTTTAAACAAGTTTACAAGTAAGAAATGTTTTTTCTGGGCCATGTTTACTGAGCCTGGAGGAAAACTGACAATTTATCTTGATCATTTGGCTCCTTATCAGAAATGGTAAAGGTCTGAGTGTAATTTGGATATCAGAGCTTCTCGGTACAATAAATACCCCAAAGATTTTAACTACTGCATCTTTTTTTGAGGGCTCAAGCAGTTACCAATAGTTGTCATTTTGACCAATACTATTTCAAACACACAGTCAAAACCCTTAGGTTTAGGTTTTTCAGTAATCAGACTTGAAAATAACTTTTATTTTTTCAAATAAGATTCTTAGTAATTATTGATGCATAGAGTACATGATAAGTAATTATTTCTCTATTTTTCAGTGTAATGTCAAAGTGGAAAGACAGACTAACTGTCCAATGCTATGTGTTAAAAAATCAAACTTAAATGTTTGATGGTCAATCAACAATTAAACAAGTGGCACAGATCATTGAATGTTGTCCTTCAGTAGCATTTTAGATAATTAAGCAGGCAAAAGTTCAAATGAGGCCTGAAACTACAGTAACATTGATGTTAAAATCTTTTAGAAATCCAAGCTTTTGCCAGTCTATGGCATCATCATCAAGAGGCACAGAAGTTAACACATCACTCTTCACCTTGGTTTTTGTGATGACTGTGGTTCTGTCACCTAGGGACGTCCAGATTTCTTGGTAGTGGTGCAATAAGGTTTATGATTTTTCCAATCTGCTTTTTGACACTCCCTGGTAAAAATGTGAAAGAAGAATTAGTATCCATGTCAAAACATAATGCCTCAAACTGTGCCCAGCCAATCTAGAGAACTAAAATATATTGGGACATGAAGATATAAATCAAATTAAATCAATAAAAAAAGATTAACTTTAATTGTGTGTTTTAGGACGTATGCAGTCAAAAGTCAGAAGTCTTATTCTTGAATTTTTGTGATTACAACTTGCACTTAGGTTGTTCATTTACCTTGATTCAAAAAAATCACAAACACTTAGAATTGCTTTTGACCAATTACAATAATAATCAAGACAAACAGGCAGATTTCAAAATGACAAATTAATGAGCATTTCAGTTTGTGGCTTTGTTTCCTCATGCTTATTTACCTTTTCCTAGAAAAACAACACCGTTATAACATTTTGAGTGTGAACATTTTTCTGAGTTTTAGAGTGACAGGTGCCAGCTGATTCATCTTAGAATTGACTAAAATATTCTCTTTGAACAAATAGTCCCTGATTGATAAGAAATTCTGGACTATAGAACAAATAACAACAACAACAACAGTAAAAGCCCCCTCCCCACAAAAAAAATATAGAAGAAAAAAAAAGGATGAAAAATAAATTAATTCCATGGCAGCAACTTAAAGGGTGTCATCTTTTAATGTCAGCTTAACACTGGTAGGAGATGTGGTGGCATTATGGTTGGCACACTGAACTCTGCATCAAGAGATCTGAGATCAAGTCCTAGCCAGGTCATTGTGTTCTGTATTTAGGTATGACCCTTACCTACCTTCACTGACCTGTCACTGCACCTCTCTCCACCCAAGATTTTAATTGGGTACTAGAGAACTGTCAAGAAAGCCTGACAAAAATCTGGCCTGAAATCCCCCATCCAGGGGAAGTAGTTATAAAGCCTTTGCATTCTTGTGGTAAGCAGCTATGTAAATTTTTTAAAACAGAGGAAAGTGTTTATGTTGGAAAGGCTTTTCAGTCCTGTAGGATTGATATGGTTCACCAACATAGTCACCATTTTAATGTTTTGGCTCACTTATTTGACAGCTGTGACAATGTGGAAATGATCTTAACATACTTCAAGTTGCTCTGTGGTACAGAACACAGGATAATAATCTTTACCTGAGAATTAAGAAATTTCGCACCTGCCTCAAGACCTAAAAACAGCTGCCTTAAGATCTAAAAACAGCAAATTAAAATAAAAAGCCAACTGAAGTTAAAAGAATAAACAATTCAAGTGAAGGTACATACTTGCTGCAGTATTTTTGCATACCACATTGACCACAAGATTTTAAGTCACTCTCTTTGACTTTTTTGTAGCATACCCTGTTTCCACATATTGCTTTTAATTTCACATTAGCAAGAAGTTGGTAGAAAGGTGCCATCTTATCCTTTAATGGCAGGTCAACATTTTTGAAGAAAGGAAGTCTTTTTTCTTCAGCATCTTGTCCCAGTTCAAAATACTTCCTGAATTCATCCATGTTTCTTTGTAGCAGATAAATTTTTGCCAGGTAGTAACAAACATTTGGGTATGTCTTGCAGCAGTGTGGGGCCTCTACAAGATACTCCTTTACAACCTTCACTGCTGTGTCTCTTAATTTTTCAGCGGTCCAGGAATCATATTTGGAAATTTCTCTCTTATGTGGTTGTTGATTGTCAAGTCTGAGCAACTCTCTGAGTAATTGATGGCTTGAATCTTCTCTGTCAGCGAACTTTTTGGAAGCATACAGCAACATCATTGTATAACCCAGAACTCCTTTAGCCTCATAGTATGATGGGCAGCACTTGACAGAGTTCTGAGAAGCCTCTGCAGCAAGTTCAGTAGCTCCTGAAATTGTGCAAATGGATGCTAAATGATAATACAAGACATGAAGCCAGCTGCTGTAGTTCTTATCAAACTCAAATGGGTCTTCACATGGAGAGCTGTTGGGTTCTGCCTTATGGACAAAACTGATCAAGTTCATTATACAAAATATTACTTGGTTGTCAGTTTTTGAATTTTCTTCTGAACGTTTCCCCCCTTTGAAATCCCGCAAAGCATAGGACAAAAGGAGTCCCTCCAAAAAGCAAGGATTCTTTATTAAAATTTCCTCACAAAGCTGGAGAATATTGGGTGACGAAATAGGAAATGCTTGAATTATAGAGTTTTCAGTCAAGAATCCATAGGCCATAAGAGTAATTCCTCTCTCATCAGTGAAGTTACTACTGTAAAGAATATCAAGGCCCTCTTTCACCAGCTTGTAAGCTCGGAGGTGAATTCTTGCTGTTGGGGACCACTCATATTGTTGAAGCATTTCTTCTGAAAAAGCCACAGGTTGATAAATAGCTAATGGGTGTTTATCTGCATCATTTCTTTGCCTCAGTTTTTCTTTCATAACATCAAATGATTGTTCAAATGCCTCCTTTGACACTTCTGACATGTCATGCTTCATGTCATAACTCCCTGGGCACTGCTGAAGAAGCTAATCAATGAGACAAAATTAATAAAAGGTTTATATGTGTTATTGAGGTATTATGCCACCCATAAATTACAGAAATAGATTCATTTATTGATAATAGTGGCAACCATATCACATCCTACCATCCAAAATGGCACCTTGGGAGAATTCAAACATCGGTAATTGTGAAGAAGAGCTCCCCAAAAAACCTGTCGGCCGACTGTCGGCCGACTGTCGGCCGACAGTTGACCGACAGTCGGCCGACAGTCGACACATTAGGAGCCACCACCTTTAGGAGCCACCAAATCTTGAAAGTCAATTGTCAACGTATTAAACATGTTGGATGTCGTTTTCAAGCGAAAACCGAGAGAAAACATTAAGGTTTGTGTTAACGTTTCACGGACAAGCTACCGACAAGCTACCGACAGGTTACCGACACATTACCAACAGTCGGCCGACTGTCGGCCGACAGGTAGCCTATATTTCAGGCAAAACCTGTCGGCCGTCTGTCGGCCGACTGTCGGCCGACAGTCGACCGACAGACGAATCCTTCGATACCTGTAGCATAAGCGGCACCAAGGTGAATTTGGCAGCGTACTTCACCCTTCTTGGCTCGAGCGATTAAAAAATCTACTGAACCATACGATTCTTTACAATAATTTTTCAGATCAAAGTCTTCTGCGTTGAAATATTCCATGTTCGAATGCAGTCGAAATAATTCGTAAACCGAAAGCTTAGTAGGACTTCCGGGATGTGAGTGAAATTTATTAGTACGTCATATATCAAACATTATAGTATGCCAAAGATTATTTGGTAGATACGTCATGTAGGGGCCATTATTATGTCCTCAATACACGTTGTGTCCTATACTTTACATACATGTAATGTACTTGACATACAATACCTTGCACACACATACAGGGCTAAACAAGGCTAGATACAGCTATACACAGCTCCACAGGGCTATACAAGGCTAAACGCAGCTATACAGAGCTGTGCACAGCTATACAGAGCTATACACAGCTCTACAGGGCTATACACAGCTATACAGGGCAATACACAGCTATACAGGACTATACAGGGCTATACACAGCTATAAAGTGCTATACACAGCTATACAGTGCTATGTACAGCTAAACAGGGCTATACACATCTATAAAGGGCTATACACAGCTATACTGAGCCATACGGAGCTACACAGAGCTATAGACACCTATACAGGGCTATATACTGCTATACAGGGCTATACGCAGCTATAGAGAGCTATACACAGCTAGACAGGGCAATCCACAGGGCAATCCACAGCTATACACGGCTATGCAGACGGCTATATCTTTCATCGCCACAACAACACATGAAGCAACTTGAAATTTCTCATGCAGAGGACTTCATGGACACGCGGAGTAACATAAATTTTCCGGGACTCGTAGAGCGACTTAAAACCCGGAGTGTCGTAGATTATATCATCCAAAGAGTTCTACATCTCCAAGATTTTATAGACACCTTTACGGAAAGATGTAAAAACAAAACGGTAGATATCCTGGCTTTCCTTTGGATCCACCAGTTTAAAAACTGAAAAGTTTATAGAAGTAGAGAAAAAGATGAATTCTTTGGAATTAGACTTAACTGCTCAACACATGGATAATTTGATAAGGAATCTTTCGGGTTTTAACCTTGAAGTTGACAAGATCGAAAGAGATGGACACTGTTTTTTCAGAGCAGTTCCCTCACAGCTCAATAGACACTCGAGGGAATACAGGGAACATATCGAAGAGCACTGCACTTCCCTTGGACTAGGAATTAGTGAAGCTTTCGACACACGTAGACTTAGGGAGCTGTTTGTGAAGAAGTCTCTGATAACATTGAAGAGTACAGAGACTGAATGACAACTGGCGTTAATGGATTAGAAGACGTTTACAAATTTAGCCAAGACGGATTTTTTTGCAAATGAAGTTGGTGATTTATGCGCGAGAGCAACGGCTAAAGTCTTGGAAATCCAATTGTGATTGTTGCCGCTCTCCTTTCATCACCTACGGTACCATTCCTACAACACGAGTTCCTTACCACCACACCCATCTACATTTCATACGATCATTCTGGGCTAGGCCACTATGATGTTACAAAATGTACTCAATAACTGTTCAATAACCCTAGGTTAAATAAGCAGTTGTAAATTCTGATAATGCTATATACCTCCTCATATATCGAGGTTTGAACTGAGAATTTTTCGAGATCCTCCCGATGTCTTGGCACCTTTATTAGGTTGAATTCTTGTACTAGCACCAAGTTGTAAATACTTACGTTCATGAAATTGAGCCGGAAATCATTTAATGGAGAAAATTATGTTTTCTTCATTTGTGCTAAAACAAATTCTGTAAATCGAGGTTATTTCAGATATAAGTAATAACTATTTACCAAAGTGGAGGTGGCTAGAAGCAGATATTTAACGAGCCGCGAAGCGGCTTGGCAAATATTCATTAATAACCACGACACGGAGGTGAATAGCTGTTTTTAGTACACACTAAATCAGTGAGATAATATAGCACAAAAAGATGATTTTAGTCAATTTATTCCTGGACGTGCGGGAGCGTGAAACTCGCGAGTTGCTCGGAGGTAAATAGCAAAGGATATTCGGAGTTTGAGTAGCTAACCAGAGCGCACCTTCTACACTATCCACTACTTTAGTATATACTAACGAGCTGTTTATAGCTGTGTATAGCTGTGTATAGCTGTGTATAGCTCTGAATAGCTGTGTATAGCCCTGTACAGCTGTGTATAGCCCTGTACAGCTGTTTATAGCTCTGTATAGCTCTGTATAGCTGTGTATAGCTCTGTATAGCTGTGTATAGCCCTGTATAGCTGTGTATAGCTCTGTAGAGCTGTGTATAGCCCTGTACAGCTCTGCTTAACTCTGTATGGGTGAGTATAGCCATGTATATCACTGAATAGCTGGGTATAGCTCTGTAGAGCTGTTTATATCTCTGTATAGCTGTGTTTAGCCCTGTATAGCTATGTATAGCCCTGTATAGCTGTGTGTAGCTCTGTATAGCTGTGTATAACCCTGTATAGTTTTTTTTAGCCCTGTATAGCTGTATATTGCCCTGTACAGCTGTGTATAGCTCTGTATATTTATGTATAGCCCTGTATAGCTGTGTATATCTCTGTATAGCTGTGTATAGCCCTGTAAAGCTGTGTATATCTCTGTATAGCTGTGTATAGCCCGGTACAGCTGTGTGTAGCTCTGTATAGCCCTGTATAGCTGTGTATAGCCCTGTATAGTTGTGTATATCTCTGTATAGCTGCGTATAGCCCTTTATAGCTGTGTATAGCCCTGTACAGCTGTGTATAGCTCTGCATAGCTCTGTATGGGTGAGTATAGTATAGTCTTGTATAGCTGTGTATAACTCTGTATAGCTGTGTATAGCCCTGTATAACTGTGTATAGTTCTGTATAGCCCTGTATAGCTGTGTATAGTCCTGTATAGCTGTGTATAGCTCTGTGTAGCTGTGTATAGCCCTGTATAACTGTGTATAGTTCTGTATAGCCCTGTATAGCTGTGTATAGCCCTGTATAGCTGTGTATAGCTCTGTGTAGCTGTGTATAGCCCTGTATAGATGTGTATAGCCTTGTATAACTGTGTATAGCTCTGTATAGCGGTCTATAGCTGTGTATAGCTCTGTATAGCTGTTTATAACTTTGTATAGCTGTGTTTAGCTCTGTCTAGCTTTGTATAGCCCTGTATAGCTGTGGGTAGCTCTGTATAGCTGCGTATACCTCTGTATAGCTGCGTTTAGCCTTGTATAGCCCTGTAGAGCTGTTTATAGCTGTATCTAGCCTTGTTTAGCCTATATGTGTGTGTAGGGTATTGTTTGTAAAGTACATTACATGTATGTAAAGTATAGGACATAATATGTATTAAGGACATAATAATGGCCCATACATAACGTATCTACCAGTTGTAGTTATTTTGTTTAGTCCGCTGAAAGTATTGCAGGCCTAGGAACAAAAAACACGTCCTCTGAAAAGGATGACTCCGCTGAGCAAAGACGAATATTTTTCTGGTGTGTTACTACCCATGAATCCTTTTTGAAGTATGATGAATTTCCAAGGGAAAAGGTTTTGTTATTTTATTGACAGCTCAGTGACGAGAGCCCGTGGAACGTGAGGGCGTGCGTGTTCCTTCGTGAAAGCGCGCAAGGAGGGTGAACTACACCAGAAAGAATAAAGAGGGTAAGTTTCTGAAGAAACTGTGGTGCCACGTCGGTGGGAGAGTATAACAGGGTAATTTAGTGTTATCAACTGAGTTGAAACGTGAATTTAGAATACGAAGGGCTAACGCTCGAAACCTCAGTCTTTAAACTCTTTACGGTGGCCAATTTACGCTAGGGTTAGGGTTAGAAGGATTATTTTACAATAAATAATTTAAATAAATCAAAATTGGATTTATTTAAGTTCACAAGACAACCAGGTGGACAATCAGACATGGTTTGATGCTGCTCATGTGTAAAGATTTAATGAATGTGATCAAGAAGTTACAATTCATAGACCCAACGTTTTGAAACTCCTGTTTAGTGCCTTCATCAGGGGTTATCTACTCACTGCAATAAGAGGTCCTTTCATATGCTACTAATTAGCTCCCCTTTAGAATAAATACTGTTGGTTCGTCGTTCTTTCGACTCTATTTATTCTATTCCATGCAATGACTGTGATCACAAGTATATTGGATAGACCAGTCAGTGTGTCAGTTTGAAAGAGCATCAAAAAGCAGTCTCCTTTTGCACAAAAGAAAACTCAGCTTTGTCAGCACACACATGCCTAACTAACCATATAATTGGGAGGGATAGGTCTAACATTATCACCACTAATTGACATTACCACCAATGCCTTTGTTTGGAAGCCTTGCATATCAACTCCACCCACACTCCTTTAAATCATGATGATGGCAGCTTACTACCTATTTACACCTCATCAGAAAAAGGGCAGCTAATTAGTGA